TGAACTGCACATGGTTCAACATTTCAACAGAATGAAGGGCACGTACCTTTCAGAGGCATCATGAGTCTGATGGTCTATGGCTGCAGATCGATCACGAACGTTTTCCTGCCGTTATCACCGTTTCAATACATCCGGCAATATTACAGAAAAATTAACAACAGGTCTTAAAATCCGTTAATGTTGATGACCACGTTATTCCCACGGGTGACGGCAAAACACTCATCAACAATCAGTTCTCTTTTCCACTCAAAGAATTTCTCATAAACATCAAGCCTTGTTGCACCCTTGACTTCCTACTGGCCCAGCCGCAGCATAATTCGTGTCCATAAGCAGTGATTTTGCACCTACCCGATCTTCCGCAACTTAATGAGTAGATACTGTATAGGCTACGGCGTGGCGTGGCCCTCAAATGCACAGCCGCTGCATCGCGAATCCTCTTCGCTCCCGTCTATGTACTCTTGCCGACTTATCTCAAATCTTTGAAATCTCTAGAGCAGTCCTGTGCTGCTAATATGGGACTGCTGCTTGAGAAAGGTCGGAAATTCTCATAGTATGAGGTCATATAAACTCCCCCGTATCAAGATTTTAAGATCTCATCGGAAATTGAAGTAAATATGCTAATGTTGTAGGATTACAGCTCTCGAGGAGTTTTGTTCGGACCAGCCCCTTGATATAAGTAGTGTACAATCGTTTTCCAGTAGATACAATATCACACGTATGAGGCAGGTATGATTAAGCTTCATAGCAATTTTACCTTGCTCTACTTGCAACCCCTCACCATATGGCTAACCGATATTGATACAGCGAAGAGATTTTGAGTTGGCTGATCTTTTCGAATTATAGCCCCTTTGTGCTCAACAGACGTATCTCGAATCTTTCATTACATATCACTCAATAGACTGATTGGAAATTGCCGACATGGTGCAAATTAAAGCTGGATCTGACTTGTGTCAGCTCTTCCATCAGGTAGGCTCAAATTAGGAAGAAATACCTCAAGTGCAATCTCCCGTTTTCTTGAAACCGCGCCAAAGATAGCGGCTCCTAGAAATATAAGGCCCTTGTTTGATAAACTAGCCAAGATAACATGTAGCTTCTTCCGACCCTGCGTGGCACCTTTTACTAACCATAGGCACCATGCCATTTCACTGAGATGATCCAAGAAAAGTAGAAATGGCGTGGTGAATTGAATCTCATCTAGCATGAATATCCCAATGAATGTAGTTATTATTTTCAACACCGTTGATGCCAAAGCATAGATTCTGAATAAGACACGCGTCGATCGATTTGTGAATGGATTATTGAGCTGCTGAAAACCGATGCGGAGAAACTAGGCCAGTATTAGCATGGAATTGACTTTCTTCAAGCTATGACGAACAATTTGCATAGAAGGAATTGTTGAAAGAATTCCAAGAATAATTCGAGTCCATATTGATTTCTTCTCGCTCCAACAAAGCCCTGCCAATACAGCGGACAGGAGAATGGATAAGACGCATAGCGCCAAGCTCATCTTATGAAATGGCCAATCATCTTCGAACACCCACAAAAGAAGGGACCTAGCAATCAAAGCGAATAAAAGCACGGTGGTCAGTAGTGCTTGGAAGTTAAGTTCGGAAGCCATGACAAACGAAATGGAGATAGATGTATCACGGTGAGAAGAGGGCGCCGATGGCGAGATTCAGATCATTAAATAAAGCGACCGTAATTGAACGACAGAAGAGCCCGATGATATCCCAGGAGGAGGAGACGAATTGTCATTCTTGTTCTGTAGCACAAATGTCTTACCATCAGCTTTTAGCCCGCATAAGGCAATGTCTGCATCGAGCTCCTGGGAACTATGTTAAAATGTGTCAGGGACTGGCATGCAGTAAAGACGATTTGTGCATGGTACCGTCCCACATGGCTCATCTGTGCGACTATGAACAAGAGGAAGCTAACATTCTTCTGTTTTCTCGCGCTAAGCCTTGTATCTAAGATTAGCTTGTGGTTTCCCACTTTTGGTTGTTAAAGCTCCGAAGCACACAATCTGCATCTTCAGATACGCGAGCCCTTGACAGCTATATTCCCAGGAGCAGGCAGCTTGCTCCGCGGAATAAATCCCTATTGAGGACCCCAGCGGTCCATAATAGTATGGCATGTGCTCTAAGTAGGACTGAAATTGGAGCAACCCAGCTATGGGAGCTCATATGTGAAAATATGTAAATGCGAATCAAAAATTCTTGAGATCAAGGTTGATCGCAACAAAGTCTTGCTACAAATACTGCCTTTTATGTCTTTGTGCTGGATAAAGGTCATCGCAAAATACAGCAACGAGAGCTCCTTTCTTCAAGTCCGAATCATCGAGACAACAGAATAGCAATATAATCTTATCATTATCGAAAATATGGCTCACCTCCCATCTGTCATTTGTAAGTCACCCCACTTATTCCAGCATAAGAAAAACTCAAGGCAGCTACTGACCTGTTTGATGATTTTAGCCGCTTCTGTTCTAGCTGGTCGATCGCCGTGCGAAAATTCTCTAGATGTCACTCACTTCGATCAATGGGCTCAAGCCGCCCTGTCCTTTGCTATCATGCGCGGAAAAGTGTCTACCGTCCGAAAGCTACTTTGTCGACATGATATTGATGTCAATGGTCGAAGTCCGAAAGCCCAATCTCCAGTCATAATAGCCCTTGAGCGTCAAAACTACGAGATCTTGAAAATACTTCTAAGAGACCCGCGGCTCAACATCAACAATCAAGATGACCGAGGATACACTGCACTTCATCTGGCTGTGATATATGACGACCCTGTTGCAATGCGAATCCTCTTGGATCACAAACACATTGATGTCAACTATCTCGATTCCGCGGGAAGAAGCGCACTTCTTCTGGCTACCATGACATACGACGGCCTAGACCCCAAGAGAAACCAGATCATAGATCTTCTACTTCTAAATCGGAAGACTCTGGTGCATCAACGAGACCAGAGAGGCCGCTCGGCACTATGGTATGCAGCAAATACTGGCAACAAAAGACTGATCCTTCAACTGGCGCAGCTGTCGGATCTGGAGCCCGGGAATACTGACGATGATGGTGTGTCTCCTCTTGGCCAAGCTAGGAAAAGAGGAAATATCGAGATATGTGCGCTTTTTCAGGGCCTTACTGCACGTGCTGGTTACTGAGGGGTATCTCAGCACGACATGGAATAGCCGGACAGTCGCAAATTTCAAACGACATGATGCAAATCTGGGCCATTGAAACCAGCATTGAAAAGATTCTAGTATGCCTCATTTCAAAAATGTACTCTAGGAGGTTTCGCAGAGGTCGTAGTATGGGCCCGATGCAGGAAGACGACCGCACTGTTAACAATAAAATACCGTAATTTCACGAAGAAGCATTATATCAATTGGGTGCGAGAAATAACCTCGGTGACCATGTAGCTTCGATAGATGTCCCCATTATTAAGGAAAAGGTAATTTTCGATAGATTTGATCCTTCCGCCACGGATGCGCTATGCCATAGTCGAAGCTGAGCAGAGACTCCGACCGTGGAGAAGGCACGCAGACAATCCTCATAGCTATTGGGGAGAATCCGTTCCGGCGTAGTATTAGGCCCTGTAACTATTGGTTCTACCAAAAATGCCGACTAGTTACTTACCCACTTTCGATCTGGCCTTCCTGAGCAATTGTGTGTGGTCCAGTCCAGGTTCAGAGTCTGTGGCAGCCAATCATATCGCACAGGAAGCCTTTCCTGTCCAATAGAACGATCGGAGTGGAGCGTACGAAGGCGTTTGTGTTTCTAGGGATAATCTGTATCGAAATCCTGAGTGTGCTGATGATCTGTATCTCTCCCTGCAGATGGAGGTTTTTTAACGCTGAAAAACCGTGGAGGCTTATTCTCACGAATGCGCCAAATCTTATCTGCAACGATGAAACGGGAGTTACTATAGATGGCGTCCTGCGGACGAGTCAGGAGGCGCTTAAAAGCGTTGAAATTGCGGGCGGTGTTTGGGACGGTGCGGCCCCAGACTGAGTGCCCAGGCAGAACACCCTACCAGCCAGAGAATCGCACCACTCCTGGTTGTCCAACAGCCTGTGCACGCCGATCCCTCGAATGAGGCGCTAACACGCTGAGCTACCACCCGCGTGCACGATAGGCCCCAATGTTCCCGCATTAGCGGTCCATCGGTACCGTGGAATGTAGGTGCCACACAAGCGAGGTGTTCAGAGCCTCTAGGAAGGGAACAGGCTTGTAGTGGGGTTCGGCTGTTGCTCCAGGGCTCTGAAGTTATCAAATCGCGAACATGGGTTCCTGGCCGCCTTTTGGCTCAACGTCCGTGCAGACGATCGCGACGGGTTTGCCTCCCGAGATATAGCCCAAACACTGAAGCTCATCGTAGCAACCATACGCTGTGGTGGTCGGTCGAGAGAAACGACACTGCGAAGTAGCCCTCACCCTCGCCCCACCACCCCCGACTTCAATATCAAATTTTCCAACAAGGAAAAATATATACTGAAGCTATGGAAATGCTGTTTGGCAAGATAGATATTGATGCAGACTCGGCGAGCGATGAAGGCAGCACTCCTTTCCCACTGGCAATGGCAATGGGCTACAAGGCAGATTGCCCATATACTCATTTGGAAATTCGACTTGCAATGTATTGAGGAGATAAATGCGTTATAGGCTTTGGGCATCGGCCACGTGGAGAGGCTACTGTGGCGCTTTTGAAAATTCAGTGGAACGGCGGGATACAGTATCAACCTGAGCTCGGGAGACAATTATGGGCGGACTACGCACATGACTTGCTTTAAAAGGAGGGAATGAGAATCAAGGCCGAATGCTGACTGGAGTAATCAAAATTTGGCATGAAGAGAACCAAAAAAGGATAGTACGTGGATTAGACGCCTAGCAGAAAAGAATCTTGTTCCGAGAATTAATTCACCGCCTTCAGGTCAGCTATAGTCAAAGGGTACAGTTAGATGTTTCTATTGCTAAAAAGCAACAGCTGACTCTGTAGCTTCCTCAATTTAAGGTCGAATCGCGGAGGACTTCTGGATCCACAGCATCACACATACTTCCAACTTTGAGTCCATCGCTGAGAGCACAGGCCGAAATGTTTCCTTGCTTGTTAAAGAAAGTGGCCCGTCCAGTCTTCTCCAATAAAATCCATACCGCTGGAAGGCCCTTTTCCGTAGTGCATGCTTCAACCGATACCATGGGAAGGTCGTGACCGTTGCCAATGGCGTTTCCGCCCAATTCTAGAAGCATGTTAGTCTCCTCGCCATTATTTTCTTCTATTAGAGTACTCACTTGAGCAATCTTCTCCCTTTGGTACACTAAACGGTGTCGAATGTCCCGTGCAGCCATGGTTGTCATTCGACCATATCATGCACTGGCTACCAACGTCAACAATACTGAGAGTGCCAGCAACAGAATGCTTTGCGAAGATGACAGCGAGGACTGGAAAGAGGAGGGGGCGCATAATGTCGGTTTTTGTCACGATGTAGGGTAGAGAAGGGACCTGAGAGTTCTTGCGCAAGATGATATCAATCTAGGTCGGGCTCATGGAACATATCCACCTGGGATGAGAAGATAGATTGAATTTATAGGGAATGTAGGATTTAGACCTCAGTAAAGGATCTGCATGCAGTGCTATGCTCAAAATTATTCTGAAAGGTGACAAATTTGAGCTCTCGAACGGGCAGTAAATTTGTTGAGGTAGTAGGAACGCATCTCTAACCACCTTCAGGACGGAAAACCCAAAATAATCATCTAGATTTGTGGTGAGTGCCCCTGGTTAGTGAAATAAATTCGGGCGCTTTTTGAAGTTGAAAATCTTTCTCAGCGCCATATTAAGAGGCCGATGCGATAACTTCGGGTTGTTGTAGGAAACGAGGCTAATGCACGGCGGCTGAGTGAGCCGCAACCACCAGCGTACATACAGTATCCCTTTACTGAGTACTCCGAAGCAGTCGTGCGAATGTTGTACACTTGTTGCAATAACAAAATAGGCCCGTTGAGACAAGCTGTGAATCTCCCCCTTTCACCAGTGATTAACGACACAAACACGCCAGACCGACACGATCGAGCACCTGCAGGGAGATGAACCCGGCTTGTCTCATCACCTAAATGGCCACGGGAGGATTAATAGACCCCAGATCTCCGATAGAAATACTTGGCCACCGCTCGGGCTAGAATTAATCCGCTGGAACACAGCCGAGCCGAGCCAAACGGGTCTTCGCAGTAGGGACATTATTTTGCATGGGCTTCATAGGCAAACAATACATGTTATTCATCTCCATGAAGACTACTCGTCGTGGGAACACGATACTGCGGGCTGGGTTTGTAATTCGAGGACATTGGGAAGCTTTGCAGAGAAAGGCTGCTCATGGTCATTACCATGACGTTTCTTTATAGATGTCGGCGGATCGAGAGCGTGGTTCACGAGAGGCCATGCGCCAAATCGCAGATCTAGGTCGATTTGTCGGCGCCAAGAATCTATACTTATCGTCTCAGCCATACAGCCCTGTGTCCCCGAGGCTCATGTGTTTCATTAGGTAGTCCTAGAGGGGGGTGGTCATTGGATCTCCATTTCTGAAGACATTAAGCGCCGGAAATGTGCTTCATTGCGTTAAAATGGCGCATTTTGAGACAGGGCACATGACCAAGACACTTCTGTGAAACTAAATAGTTCGCGGTCAAGCTGAATTTAGATCTTCGGTAGTGATTGTGTGGGTCTCAGACTTATACTATCGTTATCTGAAAATAGGTTCTATCAATGTGTCTCACATTATCCGGATAACTTATACCGCCACTGCTGGCCCGCATTCACACCAAAGGAGACTACTTTGAATTGCAGACGTCACCCAAATTGGCCCACGAAATCATGCAGCAATATCTTCACCGCTACGATGATTCAAAGCTCTTCTTCCCATTACGTGGAAGGAATCTCCATAATCGAAACCCAGAGTGTGATTTAAGGCTACAAAACACCCTACGCGAATAAGGAACATGAATAGTGAACTCTACAAACAGGCTAAATGGCATTACACATAAAGCCCCCTTGGAGGATTCTTGACTTTTATAAATTCTTTGCGACAGGTTTTGGCTTCTTCGAGATCTCAGACGGACCCGAATACTCGTCTCTGACACCACGAAGAGGTGCCTGCAATGGCCAGAGGATCAGGACAAGCACCACGGCGCCAGGGATCGCCTAAATAAGCGCAAATTTGATAACGCAGGGCTCAAGGCTGCATAGAAGCTCAGGATTATACAACACAGGGGTCATTGGTTGTGAGGGAGCACATTTGTACAACACAGGGCTCATTGGCTGTGAGGGAGCACTCTCTTACAATCGCAGGGCTCATCACTGCGAGGGAGAACTTGTTGACGCAGCACTCTCCTGCGAGGCACACTTGATAACACAGAGCCTGTCCTGCGAGGCACACTTATTGACGCAGAGCCCGTCCTGCGAAGAGTACTTGGTAACGCAGATCTTACCTGCAAAAGACACTCGAAGGCTGCCAGGCCCGGAGTGTGAGGAAGAAAGTCTTGCTTTCTTCTCGACGGGAAAAGAGCGTCTTCTATGCTATACTGAGTAGGGGTCTCGGCAGCGACCACTTGCGTACATTTTGCCGAGTCCAGAGATTTTGACTTCAAATTTGCAGCGTGCGACCCTAATTTCGTGGGCGTTGAGGCGGTTTATCAACGTTGAAATAAGAAATTTCAAGAGTTCGGGTTGGAGAGCGGGTGGAGTGGCCGGATCCACCTGGAGCCGTGGTTGGCATGATGCGCGATGCGTGATAAATCATTTGCCTCATCAACGTTGTTGACAATGGTGAAACGGCCTTCAGCGCAGTTTTGTATGAGGGTGTAGACCGAAGTAGCATGCCATGGGCTACTCGCCGTGGCGGCTTAATTTCTTGTGGCTCCAGAAGTCTGCCATTATTCGCTCGCACCGTGGCCAATCGATTTGCGAATCATTGGTCTCAACATTGCTCAACGATGTGATACGGTTTTCACGCAGCTAATATGTAGAGTCGCTCCATGGAAGACTCGCCTTGGCAGATCGATTGCCCGCCCGCGGAATTTTTCGCCCGCAAAATTCCGCTCTCGCCTCCGTGAGAGAAAAAACACTTTCCCTCGCCGCAGGAGATAATTTATGCTGCCGTAGAGTTTTGCTTTTGCATCGGCGAATACCCTGGCATAAACGTTCTCCGCAGTCTCTTCAGATTCCTAAGAACCCTCCAGAACTCAAGCATGACGCAAATTTAGACACAGCAATCTACTTCTTTTCACGCATCGTTGGAACGACCGGGAACGACTGATTGGTTAATTCTCCGGGTATAAAAGGAAAACTTCTGCGAGATGCGTGGGAATAAACTTTATGGCAGTGGTGGAGCGATCCTAGCAAGTCAAACTCCCGCGACGCGCGGTCGATAGGACTTCATCTCCTATCGAATCTATTGTTGATTCGACGTGTGAACTAAAAATCGAAAATTATCAAGATACAGAGAAAGTGATCTTCCAAAAGGCTCTTAGAACTATGTCCTGTCATTTCTCCTTCTTGACTAAATATTCTAGCTATAATCTCTCCGCCTTTCACTGAGTAATGACTCCAAACCATGGCCACGATCGCAGCAGCGAGTTTCGCAATGCCATTGCGTGTTGTGCGACTGCCAGCGTTCTGATAGCCAACATCAACACATAATCTGAATCTGATAGAGATTCAAGAACACAAATCATGGTCAGGAAGGTCATGATCGCCTTCCAAAATGGCGAGAATAAATTTGGGCGGGGTTGGAAAGTTAGAAGCGAGGATCAAATTTCACGTGGTCGTAATGTACCATTGTCAAATGAGCGTTCTCAAATTGTGTTCCACTATGCCCGCTCTACAGATTGAACATTTGATTTATCTTCTAGGAGACTTTCGACCCCATGCAGGATTTGCATGGTGTGGTAAGGTTTCTACCATCACTAGTCTCCCGCCGGTGTTGCTTGCGCTTTCTAGACATCGATCTGGGTCCTGTATCAGTGACACGATCAACCTGGGTGATTATCCCGAAACAAAAACAGAGATTGGTTCGGATACTTACTTCTGTCGTCTAGACGGCCGATTCTTTTCCTTCTGTCCTCCTTTGTTCAGTCTGCTATTTTAGTTAGGAAGCGTACTTCCTGATAACGGGGTCTTGTAACATACCGTGGGCTTACTTCCTCAGCCTGATGATTCCAATTGGATTGCTTTAGCTCCGACGACTGGCTCCTCTCAATGGAATCAGACTGAACTGTTGGACTCGGTCTTCTCTCGGGATTTGCAGTTGGAGATAGTACGTGGTGATGCTGTCTCGGGTTCGTCGTACCAGATGGGACCTCGGCCTTCGAAGAGACTGCGTGCTCCTCAGTGCAGCTCTCTTCCCTCACTCTATCATGCCCTTCATGGTCAAATCTCAAGTCCTCGCTAAAGCAATGTTCAGATAACTTCTTCTTTTGCGACATCTTCGGCGAAGGACTTCTGAGGCGGCCCAAGATGAGGAGTCCTCAAAAGAAGGATTTTCAGAATTGAACTAAATAGTTAGATGAATTTATTTGCTGCTTTGTTAATTAAGAATTGCCGAAGGCGGTGATTTGAGTTTCAAGTGGAGCATCGTTACAGTACGTCTCGCAACCGGTGCAACAAGAACACTCTTCAACTTTCACGACCGGGAATCGGTCATTAGGGTATTGTATGGAAAATGGTAACAGTCTGCTCAATTTAGAATACCTCGGGAAAACTATTTAACAACAGATTACGATGACAAAGCATGTTAATAAGCAATGCCAAGAAATAGGATGGTGAAATCGACTAGTAATGATACACTCAGTCGTGATATCAACACTCTTTTCGGTCCCACTGCCAAGGCGTTAGCGCAGATCATTTATTGAGGTTGCCGCCACACCCAGTTTAGATCTGCCGCAAAAGCCCACCAGCAGCACAGTAACTATCAATTCTACCCGTTATCCAAATTCTTAGAACCACTTCAACTAGAGGGGATACGATGCTATACAATATTCGTTATAGAGGTTCTCAATTTAATGCGGGCACCTTAATAAATGAACTGCGCTTAAGGTCTTGGCAGTGGGGCCAAAAAGGGTGTCTAAGAGTGTTTTTGTTGCACCGGTTTCGAGACGCACTGTAGCTGGAGAACACGGACGCTACACGAGACATCACGCGATTGGCGTCGCGAAGTTAGACCTCTAGCGATCAAGCGAGGGACTCTGGAGCTTTGCGAAGTGCCACGGGGCGACAATACCGATTTCCTGTACTGATTGAGAGTGATGGCGGGACGGGCCGCGATGCGAACCCCTGAACCGCCCGACCGCGACGAACGCGAAGCTTCGCCACCGCGACTGGCAAGACCGAAACGCATCACCAGACCACCCAGAATCTATGCTCAAGAACAAGAAGTCGACAATGAACAGAGGCAGACGCGACCTCAGCAAAAGAAGAGAACTGGACCCGAATCTCAGCCTGATAGGGCAACTTCGGATGACTCCGCGGCCGAGAGCGACAACCTCGATGTGAACGATTTGGTGAAAGAGATCGCCAAACTCAGGACAGAAATCAGACTACGAGACGAGTTGCACAAGGAAGAACTACAAAAAGCCAAAGCAGAGTTCGGTGCTGCCCTCGCCGGGGTCCGGCACGAGCTACAGAACCTGACAGACAGGACCCCGACATCGCAGTGCAACTCCGAAGCGTGCGCCCAGACTGGCCACGATGAAATCCTCCGAGAAATCCAATCCCTACGTGAAGAAATCAGCGCACCCGCTCTCACAGGTTCCCCGTCCTATGCCGATGTCGCCCGCACTCCCCCGCTCAGCCACCCGAGTAATATACGGAGCCTCTCGACATCGAACACAACACCAACCACGTTCACCGACACACTCTATTGCACAATCGACACCTCCAGGATGGCAGAGAACGAAAACGAGAGGATGTCTGCAGGCTCTATCCGGGCGGCAGTCGAGACAGAGATCCGAGCGACAGCAGACCACACGCATTGGCGTTGTCGCGCCGTCACTGTGGACCCGAAGAACACGAACCGGATCAGAATAGCGTGCCGCGACGAAGCCGAGCACCAGCTGATCAAGAAAGTGGCGGAATCCCAAATCGGTGCAGGGGCACGGGTGCTTCGGGATGAGCTTTACCCTATCAAAGTTGACAGCGTTAACAAAGCCGCAGTTCTGGATGAAAAAGATGAGATCCGTGCCGGAGCAGCAGCCGCCTTCAGCGAGGAGAACGAAGCCACCGTTGCGAAAATCGCATGGCTTAGCAAGAGGGAGAGCGCAAAAGCATATGGGTCAATGGTCGTCTACCTCACTAAAGGTAGTGACGCACGGAGACTGCTAGCCGACGGGTTCTTCCATGCTGGGGGAGAATCCGGCGTGACCAGCACCTTCGAGCATCGACCACGACCGATGCAATGCTATAAGTGCCAGGAGATTGGGCACAAGGCTTTTCAGTGCAAGAATGCCCAGAGATGCGCAAAGTGCGCCGTACATGGCCATCGCCACAGTAGCTGCGACCAGACAGTTCCGAAGTGCGTTCCATGCGGGGGCCCTCATGAATCGTTCAGCAGAAACTGTCGGAAGCTCTATCCGCCACGCAATGAATAAAACGCTCCGGGTAATGCAACTGAACGTGAGGAAACAGGGTGAAGTGCATGAAAGCCTCATGAACGACCAAGATACCGCAAACGCAGTGGCACTAGCGATCCAGGAACCCCAGGCGAGGAGGATTCAAGGCCGGCTCTTGACCACCCCGATGGGACATCATAAATGAACTAAGATGGTCCCCTCCACGTGGAGAGAAGGGAGATGGGCGGTTCGAAGCATGCTGTGGGTAAATAAGGATGTGGAAGCGGAGCAAGTACAGATCGAGTCGCCGGACCTAACAGCGGCTGTGATTCGGCTTCCTGAGCGACAGATTTTGATAGCATCGGTTTATGTGGAAGGGGGCAATGCCGCTGCGTTGAACGACACTTGCGATCACCTCAGAAAAGCGATCACCAAAGTACGGCGAGACTCGGGAACGGTGGTGGAGATCATGGTCATGGGGAGGAGACGAGGTGTCCTCGGTCAGACAAGGCGAAGCGGATTCGATCATCGATCTCATGAATGAATTTGGACTCAGCAGCCTGCTTAAACGAGGCACCAAGACATGGCACGGCGGAGGATATTCGGGGGACTGCGAGTCGACGATCGACCTCGCTCTCGCCTCAGAAAATTTGACGGACTCGATGATCAAATGTGCGGTCCATGGAGCGCAGCACGGTTCGGACCACTGCACCATTGAGACCGTTTTCGATACTCCGTGGGCTGCTCCAAAGCAGCCAGAGCGACTGCTGCTGAAGAATGCGCCGTGGAAGGAGATCAATGCTAGAATTGCAGGAACACTAGCTGCCACTCCAGTGGAAGGCTCGGTGCAGCAAAAGACCGACCGGCTCATGTCCGCGGTGTCGGAAGCGGTTCGCGCGTTGACGCCGAGGGCCAAACCGTCACCACACGCAAAGCGATGGTGGACGGCGGACCTGACGCAACTCCGTCAGATATACACATACTGGAGAAACCACGCCCGCTCGGAAAGACGGGCAGGACGAAAGGTACCACAGCTGGAGGACATGGCCGCAAGCGCCGCGAAGCAATACCTTGACGCAATTCGGAAACAAAAGAAGAAGCACTGGAATGAATTTCTGGCCGACAACGACAACATTTGGAAAGCCGCTCAGTACCTGAAGTCAGGAGAAGATGCAGCGTTCGGGAAAATTCCGCAGCTTCTCCGAGCAGATGGAACGGTTACCACTGACCATGAGGAACAAGCCGAAGAACTTCTGACCAAATTCTTCCCGCCCCTGCCGGATAACATCCAAGATGAAGGAACAAGACCACAAAGAGCGCCAGTAGAGATGCCGGTCCTCACTATGGAAGAGGTAGAGAGGCAGTTGCTCGCAACGAAGCCTTGGAAGGCGCCAGGCGAGGACGGCCTACCGGCCATAGTGTGGAAAATGACCTAGCCCACGGTTAAGCAAGACGTTCTCGATCTTTTCCAGGCGTCACTGGAAGACGGCACGCTGCCGAAACAGTGGAGACACGCAAAGATCATCCCGCTGAGAAAACCGAGCAAAGCAGACTACACTATTGCTAAGGCGTGGAGACCGATCTCGCTCCTCGCAACGCTAGGCAAGATCCTGGAGTCAGTGGTGGCAGAGAGGATCTCGCACGCAGTGGAGACCCACGGCCTGCTCCCGACCAGCCATTTCGGGGCCCGAAAGCAGCGGTCCGCGGAGCAGGCACTCCTGCTCTTGCAAGAGCAAATCTACGCGGCGTGGCGAGGCCGACGGGTGCTGAGCCTGACCAGCTTCGACGTGAAAGGGGCATACAATGGGGTCTGCAAAGAACGACTGCTCCAAAGGATGAGGGCACGAGGCATACCGGAGGGCCTTCTCCGCTGGGTTGAGGCGTTTTGCTCTGGACGGACGGCGACCATCCAGATCAATGGGCAACCATCGGAGGTTCAGGACCTGCCACAGCCTGGACTGCCTCAGGGCTCGCCCCTGTCTCCGATTCTATTCCTCTTCTTCAACGCCGACCTCGTGCAGAGACCGATCGACGGCCAAGGAGGAGCAATTGCCTTCGTGGATGACTTCACCGCGTGGGTAACAGGGCCAACCGTACAGAGTAATCGGGAAGGTATCGCAACAATAATTAATGACGCGCTCGATTGGGAAAGGAGGAGCGGCGCAACCTTTGAAGCAGACAAAACAGCCATTATACATTTCGCACCCAAGGCTCGCAAAGTCGACCAAGAACCGTTCACTGTCAAGGGACAGACGGTCGAGCCTAGAAACAAGGTCAAAATCCTGGGGGTCCTGATGGACACGCGACTGAAGTACAAGGAGCATATTGCAAGGGCAGCATCTAAGGGCCTGGAGGCCGCGATGGAACTACGACGGCTCCGAGGCCTCTCCCCAGCGACAGCACGGCAGCTCTTCACAGCGACCGTGGCTCCGGTGGTGGACTATGCGTCAAATGTCTGGATGCACGCATTCAAGAATAAGAACATCAGACCGATCAACCGAGTGCAAAGGGTAGGAGCACAAGCAATTGTGGGGACATTCCTCACAGTTGCGACCAGCGTAGCGGAGGCCGAGGCCCACATTGCCACGGCACAACACCGTCTCTGGAGACGAGCCGTGAAGATGTGGACAGACATCCACACACTACCAGAGACCAATCCTCTTCGCAGAAACACAGATCGGATCCGGAAGTTCAGGAGATACCACCGCTCACCACTATATCAAGTAGCGGACGCGCTGAAAAACATCGACATGGAATCACTGGAAACCATCAACCCGTTTACACTGGCACCATGGGAAGCACGCGTGCGGACTGATGATGTGCCCATCTCAGAGCGGTCAACTATACCAGGCGGATCAATGCAGATCGCGTTCAGCAGCTCGGCGCGGAATGAACTGGTAGGGTTTGGAGTGGCGATCGCGAAACAACCACCCCGCTATCGGAAAGTGAGACTGAAGACCTTGTCCGTCACGTTGAGCGCGAGAACGGAGCAAAATCCATTTTCCGCGGAGCTGGCGGCAATGGCACATACACTGAAGACACTCGTGGGATTGAAAGGCTTTAGGATCACGTTGATCACGAGCAACAAAGGGGCAGCTCTCACGCTGAAGAGCCCGCGACAACAGTCGGGCCAGGAATTTGTCCGTCAAATCTACAAGCTGATGAGAAGACTGCAGAAGCATGGAAATCAGATCAGTGTCCGGTGGATCCCCACTAGCGAAGACAACAAACTACTAGGGCTGGCGAAAGAGCAGGCGAGAGCCGCGACGCAAGAAGATGCTATCTCGCAAGTACAGGCCCCCAAAATGAAATCGACGACTCTAAAGAATGCGCGTGCCCAAGCAGTCCCCAATAGTGAGTTGCCCGAGAACGTAGGGAGACACTCTCGACGAGTGGACACAGCACTTCCAGGGAAACACACGCGACAGCTGTATGACCAATTATCGTGGAAAGAAGCGAGCGTGTTGGCCCAGCTCCGCACGGGCATGGCAAGACTCAATGGATATCTCTTCTGGATCAATGCCGCCGAGACAGATCAATGCGCATGTGGACAAGCAAGAGAGACTGTGGACCACTTTCTGTTTCGATGTCGGAAGTGGACCGCGCACCGGACGGAAATGCTGCAATGCACCCACACTCACCGAAGTAACATGTCCTTCTTCTTGGGAGGGAAGTCACCCTCCGATGATCAAAAGTGGAAGCCGAATTTGGAAGCAGTGCGAGCCTCAATACGATTTGCAATCGCTACGGGCCGACTCGAGGCCACCTAGGCTTGCCGACAAACTGATAGAATACCTCTTCTTACTAACCCCCAACACCCCTTGTGACAGACGGTAGACGCGCTTCAACTGCCGAGGATAGGATGTTGAACTCTTGGAGAAACGCCTTCAAGCAATCTACTAACTAAACACTAACCCACAAGGACCCGCTAAGATATTGACATCTGAGATGACATACACTGAAACGAATCTTGTATGGGCTCCAAGGAGGCACAGCATTAGCTAAGGCATGTACATATAGATCAGTGATAGTTGCCCTTTCGGTTCAGCCGCCGGGCGTTAATAAAATGTGTGCGTGTAGTATGTTATTGCTATTATTTTCAATATATAATCCTCCTCCAATGAAGTTGCGAGTAAAGTACTTTAAAATGTTTCCCACCCAGGAAGGCTCCCTGGAAGTCAAAGACGCCAGCTGATATGAAGATTAGTATCTACAGCCTGCTGTTTTTCTCCGTCTCCTCTATTTCTAATCAGACTATCTACAGATAGGATAATTCTCTATTTATCTTAGATGACTAGTGTTAGTTCAATTTAATGTTAATGCATAAATCTAAACACCAGCTAGTTGTATAGCATGGCGTCCATTTTAAGATTTACTGGCTCCTGAAACTTAAACAGGTTCTTCAAATTGTATCCAATTCGGTCCGGGCCCTAACAACCCAATGTATAGTTGGCTATGCTGTAGGGTTGTAGGAAATATGGGATGATTTCCTCAGTGCTTCAAAAATGTTTCAGAACTTCATCCAAAGCTAACACAGCATTCGCAGCCGCGATGTTGATATCCTCAATCGAGTCAGAGCACTTAGACTGCAATTCACGCAGCAGTGGATCAAAAACTGGATTAGCTTTCGTGTCAAAGACGTGATGCAAGTGTATAATGTCGTTGTGCATGTCGCGTTTGATGCTAGTATCCACTTCCCCCGCCCATGAGGCTAAATTCGGGTTCGACACGACTGTACTGAGGAGGGGCGAGGCTT